GACAGTCTCTACGTCGAGGCAGATGAGCCTTCTCTTACCCAACGCTGTATAAAATTATAACTACAATATATTACCAAACTATATTCTAACGAGACTAATCATTATTGCTGCCGACATTGAGCTGGAAAATATATCTCCTTCCCGTCTTCTTTCTTCTCCTCCTTGGCAATTGGATAGGCCACAGGTCGACCCTACACTCACTAAATATAAAAAATCAGAAACTTATGACTTACAATATAAACAAGAATATAATCAATTAAAGAGTAAATATAATACATACAAATCCTTATTAACAGATGGGTCCAAGGATGGTGACGCAGTTGTTTGTGCCACTGTCATAGGATCCAGAACAATATCTTCCCGATTACCAAATAACAGCTCTATTTTTACAGCAGAAGCTAACGCCATATTAACAGCTCTTAAATATATTAATAAACACCGTAAATATAAACAATACACAATCTTTTCCAATTCTCTTTCGTGCCTTCGGGTCATTAAAAATCTTTCTTGTAAACATCCACTTTTGTTGAATTGTTTAATGAGCCTGCTACTGGCCAATTCGACATTGTCTTTTGTTGGTTACCCAGCCATGTTGGGAACACAATGGCTGATATTGCTGCTAAGGCAGCACTCAACAAATCTGTGACATCACTTCTTATTCCATACTCTGACTGCAAAGCTAGCATTTGAACCTACATCCGTGATCTGATGCTGAAGAAGTGGGACACCCAAGTTGATATCGATAAATTACATGCAATAAAACCTTCTGTTGGTTACACCTACTTGGGTTGTCAGTCCAGATTTGAAGAAGTCATCATGCGACGATGTCGTATTGGCCACACAAGATATACTCATGAATACCTATTGAAAGGCGAGGATCCTCCGTTTTGCATCCCTGATGATGAAAGAATCACGGTCAAGCAGTATCAGTTTTCATGTAATTATTGCATTTTCAAAAGAATTAGATTTGTTAAATGATTTGTAAATACACAAATATTTTATGATTGCAAGTTTGAATTAGTAGCTAAGATTGTTAGTGGCTGTATCCTGTAGTCCCAAAACATTCACGGTAAATTGAAACTTTCCATTATTTAATCGTAGAATATGTGTAATTTTAATGTATGGCTAGATGTATCTAAATTGCTGACAGCTGAAGGGATGATGTAAATCCAGCTAGGGTCCATGCAGGAAGCAACTGTACTGTAAGTCCCCATGGTCCCTATTATGGTGATCTACCTTCAGTTGTTCGCGATCTATAGCCGGTTTTTATATTGTATTGTCATTTATAGGTAAAATATTTTTAATTTTATTACTAGTCTTAAAGTTATTCCTGTGATAATCTAGTTGTTTTACTGTCCTTCGTCGACAGGTGTTTTATAATGTAATTGTGTTTATTGTTAATTTATAACCTTTTAAGTAACAATATGGCTGAAATATTGCCGATTTGACTATAAATTTTAACTCACTCACTCACTCAAAAGACATTAGGTTATTCAAATACTCCAGTCTAGGTTGGGTAAATTTACATCTCTGTCTCAAGATGTTTGTTTTAAAGTGTTTGATGTTCAAGTATTACCAATTTTGGCTTATTGATCAGAAGTTTGGGGATTTCATTCATTGCCGGATGTCGAAAATATACTCACTAAATTCTGTAAGTTAACTTGTGGATTGAGTAGAAATATTCCAAATTTTTTGGGTAAAATCTATCTTGGCTAGAAATTCTGTCAAAGTGTCCAATTATTTAAAAATTGTAATGTTTTGGCTTAGATTATTAACTCAAGAAAACAACTTGATATCAAAGAAAGCTTATACTTTTCAATAGGGCAGAGAATGGTAGTGCTTGCTGAGCACTCAAGGTTAAATCATTGTTATTTTCTTACGGATTCGCAGAGGTTTGGATTCAACAGAGTGTTGGATGGGCTGATTTATTCTTACACCAGTTTAGACAAAGATGTGTAGACATTGAGAATCAAATCTGTCATGAAAATATTCAATCTTGCTCTAAACTTGAACTGTTCTTTGCTGTAAAAGATCATTTTCAATATCATAACTGGGTTCGATTTATCGATGTAAAATTATTTCGAATTAATATTTTAAATGTTCTTGGATCTAATCACCGTCTTCTAATAGAAACGGGCAGATATTATAGAGTTCCACGAAATGAACGTGTTTGCCCTCTTTGTATTATACCAGTTGTCGAGGATGAATTTCACTTTTGCCCCGCGTGTCCATTTTACCTTGATCTGCGATCCAGTCTCATACCTCAATATTTTCACTTGTTTCAAACTCGCGAGAAAATGGTCTTGCTATTTTGCTCCACTAATCATAACATATGCAATAATCTGGCAAAATATATATTTCTTGCCGCTAAGAAACGTGATTCGTTTTCAAAGGGATACCTGTGAAATGATCTCTTAGTTATTTTAATGTCCTTAATGTACGTGTATTTATTTACAGCGCTCATGTCACAATTGTATTTCATCATGCTCTGTACTTGTATAATGGGCCGGTGGCCCCTGTACTGGAATAAAAGCAACTCAACTAGAAGCGTTTGAAGAAATATTTGCCAAATATTTTCACCAAGAAAACATACTAAGCAAATTGCATGTGCAAGTAAGCGGAAAAGCATGCGTATCGATCACTATAAAAATGCAAAAGATGTGCTTAACTTTTTCATTCTTATTTGCCTAGAAAAGAGGAAATCATCATGCCACAACTGAATGGCACCAATCGAAACATCGCCATTGGCCGCCTTGAAGATGGGGATTCGCAGTCTGCAGTTGCCCGACATTTCAACGTTCATCAGAGCGCCGTTTCTCGCCTTTGGCACCAATTCCGCCCAATATCACCCGGGAAGCGACCGTCCAAGAGTTACCACCCAGGCCCAGGACTGCTACATCCGGGTTGGTCACTTACGTCATCGTCTTGCTACAGCCGTGGAGACTACACAACGCATCCCTGGTTTGAGAAGAATTTCCAACCAAACTGTCAGGAAGTAAAGAAGGCCAGTTCTCGCCCCTGTTTTGAGAGACTTCCAGTGGCACAATCGGTCGCGGTGACGTCGTAGAGCCCGGAACTGGAACCTTAGAATGGGGCCAAAATGGGGCCAGTTTGGTTCAGTGATGAATCACGATTTCCTCTTCACCGGCGAGATGGAAGACAACGTGTTTACCGTCGGAGAAATGAACGCTTTGCCCCTATAGCTAATTGCATTAGACAAGTCGACAGATTCCGTGGAGAAAGTGTCATGATGTGGGGTGTGATATCCACCAACACCAAGTGGTGGTTCAGGGCAATTTGACGGTAAATCGGTACATCAACGAAGTCCTTGCACGTCACATGCTTCCGTTTATGGTCCGACAGAGGGAGTTACATTGCCAGTTTTGACGTCAATGTCTTTCAATGGCCTTCCCCACCACCAGATCTAAACCCGATAGGACACCTATGGGATGAGCTCGATCGACGTATACGTCAACGTCAAAACACGCCTCAGACTTCCCCAACTGACCATCGCATCACAGGAGATCGTCGACTTATCCAGTCTGTGCCGACACAGTGCCGAGCAGTAACTGCTGCCAATGGTGGCCATACAAAGTACTGACTTTGACGCCATCTTCTAAGAGCTCTTCAACCGTCCGTGTGGACCCGGGGGCATATTTGGTCCACCAACCTGTTTGCCGTGGGTTGCGCCCCTGTGTCGGTGGAGGACGGGAGTCTGGTGGTTGAGGTCACTGGTTCCAGAAAAAGCGTTCCTTTGCCCAACACACCACTTCGCCCCTGACTAAACGGGTGGTAGAACTGGCCCGGTTCTATCAATCGGCTGGTCACGTCATGCCCTGTGCTACAACTGTATAATGTTGCACAAAAGTTTTAAAAAGTCATGGCGGAATTATTTGATCTCATACTTTCAAATACTTAATTTCAAGTATATTTGGCCAAGAGTCGTATGCCCAGAAGGCGGTGGCTCATGGGCCAATCTGCTGCAATCATTAATCTTTTAATTTTCTGTGGGAGTATATCATCCAGGTATCCTTGGTGCTGCAAGTCGGAGATCCGCTTGTTTTTAGCATTGACCTTGTGATACTCCGTGGTGGGTGGGGAGCTCGGATGATGAAATCTAAATAACGAAACATGCCTTACGAAGCCCCCACCAAAAAAAGCAAACGTCCTCTTGAAAATGATCCTGTTGACGACCTCAGACTATCCAAACAATTTGATCACTGGCCACGTTTTGTTGCCATTGAGACCAGAGATAACACAGCATTGAAAGTTAAACCCTTTTGCTGTGTCTAAGGGTATCCAAGGCATATTACTGACCGTCAGCAACCAGTGCTTGTCGTAAGAGGCGACTAACGGGATCAGGTGGTCAGACTCGCTTACTTAGTTGACACGTGTCATCGTGTCTCCGTATGTTATCGATCACTGCATTGTCTGGTCCAGGCTCGATTATATACAGACCGCCGCCATATAGGATAAGATATTTATATAGCGCACACCTTCACGCAACTATTACATGCTCAAGGTGCTGGATTTTCCCCTCGATCATTGGATCTCAATATCACCAATCTCAATCCTTGGGGAACATGTAACTCTTGCAGCTACTAAGCGCACCAAGTTATCGCGGCTTTCCCATCCTTATATTACGAGGTACCCATTCACAGCTGGGTGGACTGGGACACATAGTCACAGTACTGTGTCAAAGTTTGCTGCACGTTGCTGTACCCGCAACTAGGTGTTTGCACGTATGCATGTGGCCACCATCTGATCATTTACCAACGGATTCGTGGGTTCTTATATAGCTGGAATATTGCTGTGTGCCGTCCAACAAGAACAACAAACAAATAAAACCTTCGTCTCATGCAAATCTGATCCAGGAATTTCCATGAAACACGTAGATAACGCTGCATTGATTTCAATGAACGTTTAAATACTAACGTGTTCGATCAAAATTTCATATCACACACAGATATGAGTCATTAACAGAAATTATATCAACAATTTGTTTGGAAGTGAAAATATTTAATAACCGTGATATCTATACAATGCACTTGACCGATTCATTCATCCTATGACGTCTGTGCCGTATGCAAGCGGGGTGTTTTTCTTGAAGCAGAAACAACTTGCTGACTGCCGGTAATCTCACATTTGTTTACAAGGATGTCATAGGTCTTTTTGACAGACGTAGCAATTTGACCGTGCACGCGCCCTGTCTTGCCACAAATATGCACTTCCATTTGTGGCTAACTTCTTGGCGATGATGTAATCAAACAATGGCTTATTAGACGGGAAACCTGGATACCAGGCGAAGTAGGTCATAGGTCGGCCATCATGGAATACCCATTGTCCTTCATTTGCCGCATCTGAGCCATCGATGAAGTAGCTGCATTTTGCAGTAGCTGAAAGTTTTAAAAAGACTAGAGTAAGTGAGTGAGTTCAACGTCACCTCGGCAATATTTCAGCCATATAGTGACGAGAAATGTTGGACATACACAATAAATACAAGTAGGTAAATAACTAGTCATCGACGGACTGTAAAATAACTAGAGTATCACATATATGGATATAAAACTAGCATAGAAAACTAAAACATTTTAATTAAAGCAGACAAAACAATATAAAACACGGGCTATAGATCGCCAACCACTGAAGGTAGATCACCATACTAGGAACCATGGTTAAAAAGACTAGAGTATCCGTATTTTCTCTTGAAAAGCGAGAAACGATTATCAGTGATAAATAGATATGTACGTTAAATTGCCAAAAGCATATTAGATTTTTTTGGCATTTAATGCAGAACTTTTACAGTTTAGGAATGATGCTTGGAAGTCTTAAGAATTAAGGCTGTCGAGGGGAATGTGACTAAGATTCTAAGAATCATTATATTTTGTGAAAGTCAATCTTGGTGTTCTCTACTGTGTCTTTGCTGGAGGGTGGCGAAGTAAAATAAAATTTCACTGACTCGATCTTAACAGTACTAGTCTCAAATCTGAGATACATCATTCACTGCCTTTAGGCTATTAAAAACCTATCTTGTAAACGTCCACTTTTAACTGAAACTATTGAATTATATAATGACCTTTAACTGATCAATACGACATCGTCTTTTTTGGTTAGCCAACCATGTTTGAATTTATTATAACACGATGGCTGATGCTGCAGCTAAGGCAGCACTCAATAAATCTGTAACCTCACTGCTTATCCCATACTAAGATTCTAAAGCGGTGAATAGATCTTACATTCGTGATTTGATGCAGAAGAAGTGGGACACCCAAATAGGCATTAATAAACTACATGCAATATAACCCTTTAAAGTTTACACCTACTTGGGTTGTCGGTCCAGATTTGAAGAGGTCATTTTAAGACGATACCGTATTGACCATTCGTGAATACTCGTTGATAGGATCCTCCGTTTTGTATCCATTGTGATGATGGAATGACTTTCAAGCATGTTCTGCTTGACTGTGATGATGTTTCGATTTCAAACAATAGGTATGTCAATGTCAATACATTGAAACATCTTTCTTTATATCAATTCACATTCAATCATTGCATTATCACAAGAAATAGAACTGATATATTTTTCTCTATTACAGTTGTGTAAATAGATAAATGTTTTATAATTAGTAGTTTAAATTAACAACTGCTTTTGTTAGTGGCTGTATCCTCGAAGGGGGTTGAAGTATTGTAAAGTTATTTTCCTCCTGAGATGGTAAGTCCCAAAACATTCAAAGTAAATTAAAACATACTACTATCTTTAACCATGTTATTTCAATCTATGGCTAGATTGTCAAAAGAAATGTAAGTCCCCATGGTCCCTAGTATGGTCATCATCCTTCAGTTGTTGGCAATCAATAACCTGTTTTTGTATTGTACTGTCTTCTTTTAGAATTATTACTATTTTTATATTCATATCTGTGATAATCTAGTTGTTTTCCTTCGTTTTCAGGTTTTTGTAATTCGACTATATGCATTATGACTTTATAACTTGTTTCAGTCACGATATGGCTGAAATACTGCCGATACTGACATTCCTAACTCACTCACTCATACACGGAATCTATTGTCCTTCCCAGATGGTTCATTTAACGCACCGAGAATGGAAAAACATATGGAAAAAGAAATGCTTAGACTCACGACATGTTCGTTTGTTTGTTGTTTAGCGCCACAGGTCCAACACGACACACAATAAAACTAGGTTTTGTGATGTTTAACGTGAACATACTGCTGAGGAACTAGTAAAGTGGTGGCCTTATCCTGTACCGCTGCTATTTTGGATGCCTTGGTGAACACCAAATCTCATAGCTTAAACGTGAAAAATAAGTCACATAGCTATCAACACTGACTGAACTATCAACACTGACGGAATAGAGTTGCGTTGCATTTATGTGTATTTGTTTATAGTCACATCATGTTTTTGACCCGTGAATTGGTCTTCAGCAACCTATTCTTGTCGTAAGAGGCGACTAACAGGATCGGGTGGTCAGGCTCGCCGACTTGGTTCACACGTGTTATCGTATCCCAATTGCGTAGATCGGTGCTCATGATGTTGATCACAGGATTGTCTGATCCAGACTCGATTATTTACAGACACCGCCATATAGCTGGAATATTGCTGATTGCGACGTTAAATTACAGTATACATTCCTAAAATGTAATGCAGTGACTCGCAATACATCTGAGAGTATTTGTATGATGTTGACTGACTGTTGTGCGGGCGGGCGGATGAGTAGAGTTTTACGCCGCTTTTAGCAATATTCCAGCAATATCAGGGCACTGACTGTTGTGTGGATATGAAGGCATCTGTACAAACCTTTTGAAGAAGAGCTCTGTGTGACGAAGTGGTTCTGCTTGTCCTCATTGTCAATGACAATAAAGTGGTCTCCTCTTGACGTGCAGTCAGCAAGAGCATCGTCGTACATGGTCGTAATAGCATGGAACTGGTAGCAGAGGTTGAGGAGGCGGTTCTGGACGTAGTGAACTGGACAAACCCCTGAAACATAGTGAGTGAGTGAGTGAGTGAGTGAGTGAATGAGAACACAATTACTAACGCACCGTTCTTCATGTCGTACCAACGCCTTTAATCGTGTATATTTTGTAACATTTGTTCATGTATTAGATAATAACCAACTAGATAACTTGAGTTATTTGCACGAATGATTTAATCGTGTTCCCCCCTTGGCAAATTCCAAGTTTCCAGTTGATCAATCAATGTAACAATTTAGTGAAAAATTACGAAATAGAAAAGCCTACAGAAAACCTCCACTCAAGCATTCATGGGGTGTTTAGTCGGAACCTGATCGAAGTATTCACTTGAAACATGACTTTGATGGCATAGTTGAATAGCTGCATCAACTTCTAACATGACGTTTCTATTGTTGACAATAACAACCTTTGTCAAGAATTCCAACAGGCCCAAAACATTGTAAGCAGTCCTCAACCAATTTAAGGAACATTAAATGTTGTATGGAGCAAAATAGAAAGAGGACCTCTAGAGTGTTATTGTTAGCCCAGTCGTTAAAGTGACCGCTCGTCACGCCGAATCCAACTCGGGTCCATGCAGGTAGCAAAGGTACTGTAAGTTCCCATGGTCCCTAGTACGGTGATCTACCCTCAGATGTTGGCGATCTATAGCCTATTTTAATATAGTGTTGTCATCTATAGTTAAAATGTTTTAGATTTAACTACTAGTTTTACATTTATATCTGTGATGTTCTAGTTGTTTTACTGTCCTTCGTTGACAGGATTTTAAGGATCTATCTTTACTTATTGTTAATCTATAACTTGGTTTAGTCACGATATGGCTGAAATATTGCCAAAGTGACTTTAAACTTTAACTCACTCACTCACTCGTCACGCCGAAGGCCCGTGTTCCCGTCATCGGTACAATGTGTGAAGCCCATTTCTGGTGTCCCCCATCGTGATACTGCTTGAATATTGCTAAAAGCTGCGTAAAAATTTACTGTGAAAACAGTTTGTGAAAACGTTTTTTTTAATGATAACGTTAACATCTCTGCTAAAAAGGGGTAAGTAGGGGCCCCCATGAGCGTCGATTGTGCATCCCTACTGGTCTGTTCGTCTTAATCAAACTGGGGAATGGGCCCCTTTAAAGCCTTAAAATTTTATGACACAAGAATATTTCCAAATTGTACTCTTCAAAGAAAAATGTTGAGTCTTTTAACAACCTATGTTCACATGGTGTTTTTGTCACGTGAACAATTAGCTTCTCCTTTAATGACGAATGGTTCACGGTATGGAGCTAATATTTTCGTGAACACCTGGTGGTTATTGTTTAACACCGCCCAGTATTCCAGGAATACCAGGACTGCACGGTATTACAGTTATACCGGTATGTCGCAATACGCCTTGCAAACGATACGTTTTGCAATGTATTTTTCTAAGAACCGGTATATCGGCTAATGAAGGTATTTGAAGTTTATTGATTATCTGTATGGTTTTTTTGAAAGTCTACACAGAGTTTTATTCAAACTGAAGTTTTCCATTGAAATTAATTGACAAATCAACAAACTTTACAAATAAACAAATTATAAAAAAGGAAAATACAATCCCTAAAAATCCAATCTAAATTCAATTTGTCAGTTATCTTATCATAACCATAACATTTATTTCAGGGCTTTAGTATTCAGAAAACAGACTCTGCATGTACAGTCAATGTCAGTCACTGTCAAACACTGAAGCTCCCAATATATCGCAATACATATTGCAATACATGTCGGAATACGGGTATCAGAAACGCAATATATTGCAATACAATTTATTTGCCCATACACAGCCCTAGTAAATAATAAAGTCTGGACCAGAGAACCCCGTGATCAACAGCATGACCTACGCAATTTGGATACGATAACATGGGTCACCCAAGTCAGCAAGTCTGAACACCCGATCCTCTTTGTCCCCTCTTGCGACAGTTATGGGTTGCTGCAGACCAATTCTAAACCGGATCTTCACGGGTACCACGAACACGTAAACATGTATGTTCAGCGTAACATACGTTAACATGCAAATGTGAATCACATCATTAAGGTCTGTTATTCTTGAATATGCATTAAAGATGGATTAACGTGCGGTATGAACTTTACATGAAGCACAGTTCGTCAGCATTTAATGGAATGAAATTTGAGCATAGGCGACAGAAATTCTATTCAAACAATAACAGAGAACACTTTCTTAGTTTTCTTATAAATACTTATGTCTGCCCTCACCTGTTGTTAAGCTGTAGTACTCGGTGCCTGTCTCTTGTTCTCCGTCTTCAGACGACAGGAACAGCACGTCATGGAGCTGACACCGTCGGTGTTGAGGTCTGTAAAACACAGAAATACAACCATCCTTCTCGAGACAAAGAAGTACACATGGTTTCCCACTGTGAACATCTGACACGTCAGAGATGACGTTTTTTGACATGATAACATTGTCAAATTCTGTCCATTTCTTTCCATACCCCGACCTTATCAAAGCAGTGCCACAACCCACCAAACAAAGTAGAATTAGCTTCAGAATCATTACTTCTGTCACAACCGGTTGCTCCAGTTGTAGTTACTGAATAGAGCATCTAAAGTATGATAGCTGACAGCAAATTCGCATTGATGCATCGATCGTTGGTTTGTGTTTGTTGCCTGGGCCCATATTCATGAGGCTAACGCGACATCCGGAATTCAGCTTATGTCGGTATGTGAGTGAGAGATCTAACTATACTGAGTCAAAAAAGAAACTTCACATTCTTTCTTCAGGGCACTATAAAAGAACAAGAGATGGTAAGATGGTTACATTGTTATTATTTCATTGCTGAGATCTGTGTGATGTACTCGATACACTGACAGTGCCATAATCAGTTCCATTAGGCTACACCGCCGTTCCAAAACATGGGTATACAGAATGTCAAGTCACAAGAATCAAAATGCGAAATTTCTCAGTTCAATATCGTGTATGGCCGCCCCGCGGATTCACCACTGCCAAACACCGTCTCCTCATCGACTGCCTGATGCTTGTGAACACGTGGTTGGGGATTCTGCGCCATTGCTCTTGCAAGGCAGCGCCAAGTTCCTGCAAATTCTGAGGTTGGTTCCTAAGACCACGAAGCCTTCTCCCAAGTGCATCCCAAACGTGCTCTATTGGATTAAGGTCAGGGGACCTCGATCGCCAGTCCATGACGTTGATTCCAGCGTTTTGAAGGAAATTTCGTGTCAACATCGCGGTATGCGGCCGAGCATTATCATGCTGGAACTGTAGACCTGGGCCATGAGCTGCCATGAAAGGAACGAGTTCAGGGGTGAGCACCTGGTCGGTGTAAGCGGCAGCTGTGAGGTTTCAACGGATGACCAGAAGTCGGGAACGGTTGTTCCCACAGAAAGCACCCCACACCATGCAACTTCCGCCCCCGAATCTGTCGACTTCCTGTACTCAACATTGGCCATACCGTTCACGACGTCGTCTCCAGACTCTATGCCTGCCGTCCGCGAATTTGAGGGTAAACCTGGATTCATCGCTAAAGACGACTCGATTCCAGTCTCTCTGGGTCCATCGGAGGGACGTTGGGCCCACAGCAGACGTTGACGTTGATGAAACGGCGTCAATATTGGCCCACGATATGGACGTCAAGAATGGAGATTGGCAGCCCGCAACCGATTTCGAATGGTCTGTGAGGACAGTCGACCTCTAAACATCTCAGCCCTGGTTCGTGTAGCCGGCAGAAATCTGTCACGTAGGTGACGTAGGACGATTTGACGGTCTTCTGCTCGTGGACGACCCGACCTTGGGCGATCAGAAATGGTGCCAGTTTGTTGTAGACGACCTCGCAAGTCATACACAGTACGACGGCTGCATCCCATTGTTCTTGCGACGTCAATAACTGATATTCACGCTTGCAACATGCCAAACCGCACGTTCACGTTGCACATTTGAGAATCGTGGCATTTCAAGTACCGTTAGAACTGTGGTTTAAAAGTGTTTTTTCAATTCTTGAGGCCAATGCAAACACGTGCATATGAAGAAAACTTCGATGCGAAGATCACGTGATCGACTGCACGTGCAAAACCTGATTTGGCACTAACGTCATTTGCACGACGAATGGATGGGTTTGAGTGGGTTTTGCTAACGTTTTTCTAGAGTCGAAAGATAGGGATCCCATTTCGGATACATAGATGTATCATCAGAGAAAAAATATTCATTATTTTTCAAATTACATTTTGTGAAGTTTCTTTTTGACTCAGTATATATACGTGCATAGGTCAGATGTAGTTCAACGCAATATTTCAAATATACCTTATGCGAGTATATGCTTTAGTTGGGCTCATTGTTTGTGTTAGGCGTACTTCTGACATGAAACACGCGCTCAAACCTATTAAACATTTATCTTGTAAACATAAATTTTAATTGAAATTATTGAACTATATAATGGCCTGGCAAATGGCCAATACGACATCGTCCTCTGTTGGTTACAAAGCCATGTTGGAATCTCTGGTAACACAATGGCCGATTTTGCTGCTAAAGGAGCACTCAACAAATCTGTGACACCACTTCTCATTCCATACTTTGATTACAAAGCTACTATTAGATCTTCCATCCGTGATCTGATGCAGAAGAACTAGGACACCCAAGTAGGTATAAATAAATTACATGTGTAGTGATAACTCGTTTCACCACTGCGCTGGAACACCTACGGAGTAAGCTATATACCACAACTGTGAGATATTAGCCCCAATTTAAGGATTTACATAAGACCTGAGAAAAGGCGTGGTACTCACAGTAATGGCTTCCATATGACTCGAAGTTTTCCCAGCAGTCGGTGATCGGCTGTTTATCCGGGAAGTGCAGGTCCTCCTGTTTGGCCAAGGAATCTTCCCGTGCCTAGCCAAGGAGAGAAGCCGCTGCAGCGGAGGTCCTCTCCTTGGTGGAACCGACTGTTCTCAAACACTCGAAAGTCCACAGGTACGGCCCCAGTCCTAAAATGGCCTCCAGGTGTGAATTCGACCATATCCTTGGTGGAACCGACTGTTTATTACTGACTCGATTCGAAGGCCTTCCTTCAACACCCGGAGAACCCCTTGTGTATGACGACCCATCTGATTTTGGTCAAATTCCACCACCCAGGAGGTGGCCAGCTCACTCCCCCATGGGGCCCACAAACCATCACCACTGCCGGCACCCAACCGGGATGTATAGCGCCCAACCGGGATGTATGGCACCAATTCCCGGAGCACTGCTTCCTGCTGCCTCCACTCACTGGCTGCCTTGGAGTGGTCGAACCCCACTACGCTGATGACACAATTGACGGCTCGCCACAGACGTAAGAGCTTCCGGAAGGCTCCATCATCCAAGCTGGCGGTCATCCTGGGGGACAATCCCACAGCCGTTCTGCGCCTGGAATTGGTACTTATTTTTTCTCCGGATTGGATTCGTGGTCATCATGCATTACCAGCCCCCATACCGGTAGCTGGGAATGTGTATCCAGGCTGGTCACCGCAAGCGCTGGGTTTGGCTCAGCGGAGGTTTCCTCCAGGGAGTTTGACCCGGATGTGCTGGGATGCAGGCACATGTCAAACAAGTGATCCAGTTCATATGCCCCTAGGCCACCTGGCTCTACTCGCTCAGGCCACTCCTCCTGGGTGACCCATGAGTCTCCATACCACCCCGTGGCTCCACCGACGGTGCCTTGCTCTCCTGTCTGCTCTGCAGGTTCCTCTGGACCCTCTAGCTGTTCCGTTATCTCACCCCGGTCTTCTGGCAGCCACATGGGTTCTGGTCCATCCACCTCAATGAGCTCCTGGTCCCACTCTTGTGGGGCCAGTTCCTCGGCAGCATAGACTGGAGATACTAGCACTGGCCGTAAGAGCAGCCAGAACTCGCTCCATTGGTGTGGGGTGAGGAAATTGAGCAGGTGTAGCAACACCCGCTACAATCGGAGGCATGCCGGCGAAGTCAACGGATGTAGCGCGAACTTCTCGCGGATACCCCACTCCTGATGCTGACACAGGTGGCGTAGCCCGGCCACGGATGTCTAATGCATAACACAGTCCTCCAGTAGATTCACTGTTCGGTTGAAGAACTCCAGGAGATCTTGCAAGGTGGATCCCGGCCCCACGATCCATGTTGTTAGCTGTTGGAGCCCCTGTACCACATCTGCTAGAACGTCCCCCTCTGGAGGGTTGGCCTGGGGATATCTTGCCCCGAAGTACCGTGGAAGGTAGGCCCAGAAAGGGTGATCTTGCAACTTGCTGGTTGTTTTCGGGCACCCCTCCACAGGACATGGGGAGCCCCGATGCTTTCGTGCCCCGGGACCCAACCTCCGCCTCTGTCGACCTTGCCAATGCCTGGGTAGCTGTCGCAGTGGTTGTCAGCTGACCAGATATCCTTGACGTCTGGGTAGTTGTCGCGGTGGGTGTCAGCCGCCCCCATCTCCCATCCTGATTCAGCACCGGGCTTTTCCTCTGCCCACGGTCCTAGGAAGCTGCTGCAGTTGTCCTGACCCCTCGTCCGCCTCCCCGGGCCCTCTATTTCCTGCTCAGGGCCGGCCCAAGTGATCCCATACTGGGCCACACTCTCTCCTTCCGCTTATGCCTCCCATTCCCCTGGAAACATTTCGAGATGGGCGTCCCCTCCAGGGATGGTCACCTCGGGGCTGGCTTCCCGGTTGCCTATCCATTCCTTGCTTGGGAGGTCTCCGATGGTGAGATGACTCCCTCCCCAGCCTTGGTGAGGAAGAGGTCCTCCTTCGGCGCCGGATAATCACCGTAGGCTCTATTCCCTCGATGGTGGGCCTAACCACTAGCCTCTCCTCGTAAGGGTCCTCACGCCGCCGCCAGGACTTGCATCTCCATTGACAGTTGGACGTTGTCTCCTCCGACCCTCGCTTTCTTCCACGATCCATGTCTCTCAAAGAGTAAGCTAGGTATTCCTGAAACAGAGGAAAACACACTTCCTATAGACCATTCTTAATGAGGCGTCATGAATATTCATATCTGTACCAAAACGAGGCTAAATTGGGCAAGGACACATCGCATAATGGCGACAAATCTCAATGTATACTTCCTGGTTTCAAATTTCCCTTGAACGGTACATTACAAAACTGTCCAGTAGTTCAGGGAAATCGCAGAGAAATGGGAAAGGACTACGAAAATGTTTCTGTAGCATATCCAAGGATTGAAGGGTGAATAATTACTGTACTTTGTCTTCACGACACATCACGTCATATGACCTAGATATCTAGGCTAACGTTTACGATGTTGCGCAGCATTTATGAAGGGAAGCTACTCTAAAGTCACAATAGTGGAAATAATACCAAGGGAAGTCAATTACGTTTACTTTATCAACATATGAACAAAGCAAAGGACTCAACGTATTTCCTGACCTGGATTCAAATCATCCACTTCCACATGGGAGTAGGGTTGTTAATTCTTGAGCTGGATAATCGAGATTATAAGTAATATGTAGATCAAGATAGCCCCTCGAGTGGATCTGGACCAAAAACAATTGTATTATTCATGTGATGAAATTATTTGTTTGGTATTTTTTCTGTTTAAAATGTTTTGTCCTATCGACTCTGTTTTATAGAT